TTTTTTTTTTTTTTTTTTTTTTTTTTTTTTTTTTTTTCAATGCTAAAATGACACGAACGATGTTGATAAAACTACGTCGGAATCGTATTCTAATACATTTGAATATTTCCATGCGATATTATGGTAATTAAAAGTTTATGCGATTTTAGGTCGATCGAATTATTTATTTCAATATTTTTAATTCGAGCTTATAGGTCAACATTTTTTCGATTGATCGAAAAGTTCGGTGTGATAATTTGAACGATGAATTATTTTCTGCTTTTTTTTTTTGTTTCTAGAAAATGTCTTTCAGATTGTACAACAAATTTCACGTGTTTGTAGTATTATTCGATAATTAACGATATTTATAGTAAACAATGTCGAGAAATTATTTTAATACAATATTGAATGAATTTAAATATATAAATTCTTTTTTTTTTTTTAATTATTTTTCTTAGAGAAAATATTTGTTATATCAGGTTATATAAAAATTCTTTAATTTCATAGATTTTTAAATCGTAGAGAAACAAATTCGTCGTGTAAATAAGAGAACGCGTTATGTGTGTGACGAATATATAACATTACGGAAAAAGAAAGTTTTTATTCTTGTAATTAGTATGATTTTCTTTTTCTTTCTGTTTTCTTTCCCCCCCTCCCCCCTGCTTTTTTTTTTCTTTTCCTTTTTATTCTCGAACAGAAGAAAGAGACGCGGAAGAATAAGAATAGAATTTGATTTTTTTCGACACATATATATTTTGTGTGAATAATATATAGTTATAAATAAAAAAAAAAGAAAAACCAAGTTGTATACAATCCTTGAAGAAAATAAATTAGAAAATTTAACTTTGTTGGTTGTTGGTTAGTAATACATACTTGTTGAAATTGTATTATATTATTGTGAGTATTTAGCATGTGTTACGTTCCATGTTTACTCTCTTAGCCCAGTAATTTATACACAAATATATATATATATATATATGTGTGTGTATTATACACATAAGTAGTTAGGTACTTTTCAATAACGATAAGCCTGGCTCAACAATGCTGAAAATAAGCTGTCGACAGTGATCAAATTTATATATTGTTAGATTTACTAATGAGATACTTCAATTTTTATAATACACAATTTTCTTCTTTTTTTTTTTTTCATATTTATATTAATAAA